CGGCAAGGAAATCTTTAGCCTTAGTAATCCCTTCGGATTCTATGCCCCTGAAGGCTTCCGGAACGCCGCGCTTAATGATCATAAGACTCATGCGATTTGAACGCTCCCACTTCTCATGCTCCTTCTTTGCATCAGGAGTGCTATCCGCATTGAGAGGTTGGGGTTGTTCAGTTCTTAATGCATAGTCAAGATCCATGCAGCCAAGAACAATTAATATGTTCTCTTTCCAAACCTTGAAGTTTGTCCCATTTAGCATGGGAATTGAGTTGATGTTAGCAGAAATTGTTGCAGCAGATGCATTAGCTGAAATAAAACAACAAATGCTCACATCAATAACCATAATCAATAAAATTCAAATAATGACAATCCCCATCCAAGATACCGGCACAACATTAATATCAAGTCTTTGGACAGTAATATTAACTTGTAAGTGATACCTTGTTGCAATAATCAAACATTGACAATAACTCATGTCAAATAATGAAACTATCTTTGGATCGATTCATTATTCACATGTAAACCTTATAATTGTCACATGCTTATCATCGCAGATGTATATACAGTCTAAATAAATATTAACCTTCCTTTAGGCCGATTAAATATTTACACGAAAGCATACACACAAAACATCTCACATTCCTCATGAACAATCTACACAAGAGAGGTTACTTTGGCAACTTCTTGTTTCAATTAATCAATTGGAGTGAGAGACAACCTTAATACCTTAGTGTCATAATATTTGAATTAAATAATTGATTAAAAAGCCAAAATAGATTTAAATTAAAGAGTTTTAATTTAAATCAACTGAATTTCCAAAAAACTTAATTTGGGGTCTCATAGCTTAATTAGGGCCCATAACTTAATTAAATAAATTAAGTATACCAAAGTGGACCCATGAAAAGCCGAGGCTTAACCATAGTGAACACGAAGTTCGTTTGACTTCGAACGCGTGGTTCGACTGTATTGAGTACGAGACTCACTTAAGTACAAACACGAGGTTCGTCTGAGAACGAACGCGAGGTTCGTTTGAAAAAGAACACGAGGTTCAACTTGAGAACGAACGCGAGGTTCGTTTGAAAAAATGAACGCGAGGTTCAACTGAAAAACGAACGCGAGGTTCGACTGAAATACGAACACGAGGTTCGACTGAAATACGAACGCGAGGTTCGACTGAAATACGAACGCGAGGTTCGACTTGAATTGAGCGCAAGGCTCACCTTAGAACTGAGCGCGAGGCTCACCTTAGAACTGAGCGTGAGGCTCACCTTAGAACGAATGCGAAGTTCGTTTAAATTGAGCGCGAGGCTCACCTTAGAACGAACGCGAGGTTCGTTTGATTTGAGCGTGATGCTCACTTGAGAACTGAACGCGAAGTTCGGTTGAATTTGAGCGTGAAGCTCACCTGAGAACGAACGCGAAGTTCGTTTGAGGTAACCACCTCCTTAATTTTCGCCACGAACCCTTAGGGTTTCAAACCGAAACCGCCGCCAACCAGACCCAAAAAATTCCTTGATTTTTATTTTCAAAGAACCAGATCCATAATCGAAAAAAAAAATTGTGATCCAGATCCAAGAAAAAAAATCAAAGAAAAACCCAAAAAATTCCAAAATGTTACTGTTCTCCGAAAAAACTTTACTGTTCATCCGAAAAAATTTCAACAGCCTTTACTGTTCATCCGAAGAGTTACTGTTCATCCGAGAACAAAACTGAATCCAAACCAAAGATTTTAAGATCAAAAAACCCAATTTTAATCTTAATCTCTTAGAACAAATCAAGGTGGCTCTGATACCACTTGTTAGATCCGAATCATAAAACTTGAGATCTAAAACCATAAGCCAATGATTAATTCGAAGAGATTAACAAGAATCAAAAGAGCGGAAGCTTATACCTGAATCCATAGATGAATCTTGAGATGGGTTTTGGATCTTCTAACCTTAGGGTTTTCTCTATAGCCGAATTTCTCTCTAGATGGGGGTGAAGAGAATTAGAGAGTGTAACCCTAGATTAGGGACCATAACCCCTTATTTATAGATGTTGTATTTTTGTAATTTGGCCCCTCAACAAATCACAATTACAACCTGGTTTCTGCACATATAACCCCATGACTTATTTAAATACCCATTAACCCAACTTGATTGATCACTTTAGTAGGTTATCCTAAAAGATAGCAATACACATTGATTAATCATATGTGCCCACGATTAGATTTATTAGATTTAGTCCAACACCTCAAAGATGATGCAGAGCTCGCCATGGTGGATCCCTCTCTTTGAGAACTCGTGATGGAGTCGGCGATGACATGCTGGATGAAGTGGCGGGTGAGGTCCCGGCCGCGGGTGAGGTTGGCGTTGGGTCTGGTCGAAGTAAAGGGCGACGATGGAGGGCCACTACTGGGAGGGGGAGGGGGAGGGGGAGGAAGAGGAGGATATTGAGAGGGGGAGGAGAAAGTCATAGAGGAGAAGAAGAAGATAAGGGAAGGGGTATTTTCGGGTTTTTTGGGGATGACTTTCTGGGAGAGTGTGAAAAGGGGGCTGAATAATTTTTTTTGGTTTTTGGGGTTAAAGAGTAAGGGAAAAACTATGGGGGGCTGGGCACATCCCTTTATTTTTAGGGGCCCTAAATACATTTTTCTCATTTTTTTAATTATTAGTCTCTTACATATTTATTATTTTGAGCGTAGTTCCTTAAATTATTGAAGTTGCTATTATTTCTCTAATTCTAAAGTCATTTTAAATTTACTTTCTCAGATTAATAGTAGAAGTCGTAACTAGAGAGATTGTCAAGTACAATCCATTTCATTCTAGACTATCAAATTCTCTGATTCCCATAATTTGTTTTAAATTAATCCTCTTCAATTGTTATTTCTACTGTTGATTTGAGAGACTACTTCTATAATACCTTAGGAATTGAGGGCCAAATAACAATTTCAATGATTTGAGGAATTAATTTAAAATAACTTGAGAATCAAGGAGAAAAATTAAAAAAACCTCGAGTATCAAGGGACGTAGAGCAATATCAATGGTATGAGGGACTAATTCAAAATATTATAAATACAAGGGACTATTATGAAAAAACCTTTAAAATAATCGCCATACTAACTATATTAAAATTGAAATTTTGCAACTTTACATTGGGCTTTTTACCAAATAGACGATTTGGTTGGTAGTCATACTAGGGATTTCAGCTGTTACAATGATTAGATAAATCAAATATAATTACGACAGCAAGGTTGAACTTAGGGTCCGTTTGTTTGCCTAAAAAAATTAGGAAATCAAAGAAATGGAAAACTATTTCTAAGAAGAATTGTTTTGGGAGTTTTTGGTTTGCTAAAAAAAGAAGGAAATTAAAGAAATGAAGATGAGATGAGTTGTCACCTTATTATAGGATGATGTGAGTGGTTTTTTAAGAAAACTTGTTTTGATGTTGTTTGGTTGGCGAAAAAAAAATAAGGAAATGAATTATAAGAAACATATTTCTTGTAATAGGTTGTTTTCTTTTGTTTGGTTCATTCTTAAAAATAATAAAATAGATGAGATGAGATGAGTTGTCATTATATTATTGGATGATGTGACACACGCTTAAGGAAATTATTTTCCTAGCTTTTTGGGATGAAATTGGTGGAAATAAAATGTTAATGAGATAAGATGAGTTGTCACCATCTTATTGGATGATGTGAGTGGTTTGAAATGATGAGATGAGATGAGTTGAGTGATATTGTGGATGGAAATAATATTTTATTAGATGTGATGGATGAGTTGTTGGATGAAAATAATATTTTATTAGATGTGGTGGATGAGTTATTGGATGAAAATAATATTTTATTAGATGTGGTTGATAAGCTGTTAGATAAAAATAATATTTTATTAGATGTTGTGTGTGGGTTTTAGGGATGGAAATGGATGAAATTGTACTTTTTGAGTTTTCTTGGTTTTTATTTCTATTTCTTAGTTTTTTAGAAAATAATCAAACAGGCCCTTAGTTGAAAAATGTGATGTTCTCAGCAAATTAATTTGCCACCAAACCAAGCAAAAAAATTGCTTCAGCTTTGTCCTCCTTTAGTTCTTACTGCCCATCTTCAATATCCATTGCCTGCAAACAAATTTTTGAGTGCTAATGACTAATTACCGAAATTTAAAAAGGTGTGATTAGTTCAGGATAATTAGTAAGAACTAATAAATTTTTAGAATTTTAATTACGGGTATTGACTTCTAATATTATTAACTATAATTTAAATTTAAGGTGTTATCTGCAAAGACCTAATATTCATATTTGAATTTAAGATGTCTCTTTTGGGGTTTTTACATGTTTACCCCTCAAAGCTTCAATATTTGTAAAATTACTTTTAAATCTTCATATTTACAAACCTGCCCCTCAAATCCACAACATTGAGAATTTATGGCCCCCACTTAGACCACCCGCAGCAAGTGGTTTTTGGGAGAGTTTTTTGGTACAGCAGGTAGTTTTTGGGATAGGGAAATGAAAAACGGAGGCAAAGAGGGGAAAATTTTCCCTACCGTTTTCTCTGCACAAATCTGACTCAAGCGGGCCCCACCATACAGCAGCTGGAATTAAAAAAGAAAGGAAAAAAAAGCGTGGCCCAATCAGAGGGCAACACGCGTCCGCGTGCAGGGCTGCTGACAGCCTTGTCCTGCACGCGGACGCGTGTTGCCCTCTGATTGGGCCATGCTTTTTTACCCCATCCTCAATTATTAATTGATATTTTGACAATAATTTACTCAGAATTAATTTTTTATTTTTGCACCATAATTCATAATTTTTCGAGCTCTATAAATAGAGCCTAACTTTGTATTATTTGGACACCAAAAAAATTTGAGTTTTCAACACCCTATTTTCCTTCCTTTTTGTTTCTGAAACTATTTTCTTCAATCTTCTTCATGGAGCCATCACAAAACTTTCCTAATTTCCCCTTCAATTACAACTTTCCTAATCAACCTCAACATCCAAATATGCAACGCCCAGAAAATAATCAAAATACCGGGATGCAACCCAATTTTCAAATGCCCTATATGATGCAACCAAATTTTGGCATGCAATACCCTTATCTTCCTTATGGGTATCAACCATCTCCTGGAAACAGCTATGTTCCTTCCCATATGAACGTTCCAAATCCGGAGTCGAGCCAGCCAACGACTCCTCGTTTCAGTAGTGGATCGACAGACATCCCAGATTTTTCCACCCAGGTATCTTTGGGAAATGTTGGTGGGGATACTCCCCATAGTTTTCTACCTCCAACCCAACAATCAGTCAAGAAAACTACTTACGATACTTGGAGCACCGAAGACAACATCCTTTTGCTAACTGGTTATTTTCACGTTAGCAATGATAGTGAATTGGGTAACAATAAAAAAGGTGACACCTTTTGGGGTAAAATTAAAGACTACGTGAATGAGAACTCCAATAGTGGGGAAAAAAGGACCGTAGCTCGATGCCAGAGTCATTTCCGTGACATTAACAGAAAGATAAGCAGTTTTGTTGGCTGTTACAGTACTGCTTGTAGAGAGAGGCGTAGTGGTTGGTCTGATAAAAACTACATATCCAAGGTGGTGCGAAATCAACCCAGATATATGACTGGAACAAATGCATCGGGTAGTAGTGGCTCTAAAAGAAAGAGTAGTGGCGAAGATGTTGAATCCTCCATTCCTACCCTTGTCCGTCCAGAGGGTAGGGATGCAAGAAAGAAGAAAGTTAGAGCTTCCTCTAGTAAATCATCCACTTCAAGGAAATCAAAAGTGGCAATTGAAGATGAGTTCTCCAATCTAGCATCTGTTCGTGAAAACTATCAACAATCTATGGAAAGTACTGTTTCAGCGATGTTGGAGTACGCCGCAGGTCAGAAACAAGCTGCTTATGCTAAGAAGTTGGAGGTGTGGATGATCTTGAAGAACAAAGAAGATCGTGATGAAGAAGATGAGTATGTTTATAACACGTTGAAGAAGGATCTGTTTGATCTTTAAGTTCCATATTGTGTGTTTTACTGTTTCAAATTGAAAGTGACATGTCTACCAACGTGCTTCTGATATTGAAAGTGACAAGTCTATGCACTATACTACAAAAATTATGAGGGCGTGCATTATTTTACATAACATGATAGTAGAGGATGAATGAGATACGTATTCCCGAAACTGGGAAAATCTAGACTTCGAACAGTCACCAGGCTCTAGTGCCTCTTTCAATGTTCAAACAGATGTATTGCCTGAGTTTCAAGTGCATGTTCAAGGACGGTCCGATTCGAATATTCCGACTAGAGCCGAGCTGCGAGATAGGGTCCAACATATTCAGTTGAAGAAGGATCTGGTCGAGCACATTTGGCAGAAATTTGGAACAACCCTCGATTAGATTTACCAATTTACTATGTGTTTTCTTCAATATTTTTAATAATTCGTGTATGTTTGGTATTGGGTGTGATTAATAATATCGTGTGTTTTGTTTTTATTTTTTTTTTTTGAATTTTTGATATAAAAAATTAAATTAAAAATATATTATTAAATATTATATATTTTTTATTGCATTATTAAAAAATTAATAATTATAAATATATGAATAATAATTTTAATAATAATAATGACATATATCAAATAGGGAAAAAGAAATGAATAAATATGGTGGAGAAATATGGTGGGGTATATGATGGAGACATGTGGGTCCCTAATAAAGTAAAAAATTTTCTGAAAAACTAGCTGTTGTAGGAATGGAAGGGAAATGGGTGTTATTGAATGATGTGTTGGGTGAATAAGCTGATGTGGCATGACAAAATAGGTAAAAATTTGCCTACCTACTGGAGATGGTCTTATTATGTTTAGGGAATATTCCTTTTAGATCTGTTAAACATTTTAAAAATGACTAAAGTATCCTTTTTAATTACTTGTTTCCTAATAACAACTTAAGTATAGCCAAAACAAATTCTCCATCTTCCATCATTTAAACCCCACATAACCTATCATTTTTCCCTATTGGCCATTTCTCTTCTTCTCCAATATTCAACATACTTCATCAACGTTAACATACACAGAACATTCCTACACAAAGAATACATAAAATTATAGTCGCCGTTAACACAAAAAAACTAGAAAAAAAATCAAAATCCTATCATCACAACCTAAAAAATTTCCAAACTTTGCGATGATAATGAGCACTAATTTATGACCGTAATACACACTACTTCAAATTTCACATTCAAAATACCCAAAAAATTTCACATTCAACTTGGCATAGAAACTAAATGGTTTTAAAAAAAACTCAAAATCCATGTTGGAAAAACCCAAAAAAACAAGTGACCATGATGCGGAGGACATTGCTAATGTTTGTTGAGAGAAATAGGAATGTGCGAAGCTCAGACGATCTAAGAAAAGAGGATGATTTTGGGCTAGATCTCGACATGTAACTTCGACGGACCATAACTTTTGATTCCCTTCATAGGATCGTTATTGTTATATGTTTTCGGAAAGATCAGGAAGTGCTCTACAAGTCGAATAGCTTTTCCGTACCAACCGAGTTTCGAAGTCAGAGGAATTCTTTTTCTGGCTCGAACTGCACGTCGAAGAGTTTTGGTTGAATTTAGTTTCTAGTTTTTATAGAAAGTTTTTTTAGGACATCTAATTGTTTTAGGAAAGCTTATTTTGGCATTTTTGCTTTGTTTTACACTCTATAGAAGGGGAATGAATTTGTGTTTTACACTCTATAGAAGGAGAATAAATTTGTGAACTCATTAAATTGATTATTATTAATTTTAAAAGATTTTTATTCCTAGCTTTTCTAAGGTTTGTGTCGTTCTGCTCGTACGAGAATAAGTAGTTGTCCCTTTTGATTACGCTTCCGCTATATCAAATCATGTCTGGAAAATCCAAAGTCATTTTTGACAAAAAATTAACCAAAATTTGCAATAGAAAAGACAAACCCTAATCTTATACTTGTAGGGTCGAAAAATTGATGTTGATTGATTCTTGTTTTATAAGAAATAGGTTCGATCACTTAGTACGAATCTCGTACAATCACTCACTCTCTCGATTACAGAGGAAGAGAAGATTAATTTGATTTTTTTTTAAAAGTTGGTTCTTGGTAGCGAAAGGACGCCTCACTCGATGCTCAAGCCGAGCTTGCTTCCCGTTGACGATCAGATCAAGATCGCTTCAACTCGAGAGGAGAATCAGACTTTGTTGATGGCTTAGATGATTGTTAGCACCGAGGTTCAGATCTCAATCTTGAATGCCAAAGCTCTGCCTCCTGTGCTCCTCATCTGCCCCTCCCAAGTCACCTCTTTATAGCTGATTGCGGCTATTTATAAAGTTTCAGCACGTAACCGATGTGCTAAAATTATGGGTAGAGGTCGTAACTGATGCGCTAAAATCGCGGAGTCGTGGCGTAACTGATTCCTTGGATTTAGCCCACATTGCTGACTGAGTCTTCGAAGCTGTTACAGCTGGATCTCCTGCGGGCGACGAGCTGCGCTGCATGGCAAGGTTCATCTTATTGTACGAGCCTCAATATACAGTGAGGTTCGTCTTCTAAGGCCAACTTTGCAGTATAGCGAACTCTAGTTTCATTGACATCGTCTAACGAGCTTCGTATTCACCAACGAACTTCTGTTGGATTTAATCTAATAAATCTAATTGTGGGCACATATGATTAATCAATGTGTATTGCTATCTTTCAGGATAACCCACTAAAGTGATCAATTAAGTTGGGTTAATTTGGTATTTAAATAAGTCATGGGGTTATATGTGCAGATACCAGGTTGTAATTGTGATTTATTGAGGGGCTAAATTACAAAAGTACAATATCTATAAATAAGGGGTTATGGTCCCTAACCTAGGGTTACATTCTCTAATTCTCTACACCCCCATCTAGCTAGAGAAATTCGGATTTAGAGAAACCCTAAGGTTAGAAGATCCAAAACCCATCTCAAGGTTCATCCATGGATTCAGGTATAAGCTTCCGCTCTTTTGATTATTGTTAATCTCTTTGAATTAATCATGGCTATATGGTTTTTAGATCTCAAGTTTTGATTTAGATCTAACAAGTGGTATGAGAGCCACCTTGATTAATTCTTAGGGATTTAAGTTTTATTGGGTTTTTTTTTATCTTAAATCTCTGGTTAAAGATTCAACTTTTTGTTCTCGGATGAACAGTAATGTTCGGTGAACAGGAGCGGATTTTTTTTTTTGGATGAACAATAAAGTATTTTTTCGGATGAACAGTAACTGAAAAAATCGCCGGTGAACAGTGACTTTTGGGAATTTTTTGGATTTTTCTTTGATTTTTCCTTCAATTTTTTCCAATTCTGGATCTGTTTTGAAAATAAAAATTAAAGGTTTTTTGGGTTTGTCGGCGGCGGTTTCAATTTGAAACCCTAAGGGATCATGCGTGAAAACGTGGCGAACATTAAGGAGATGGTTACCTCAAACGAACCTCGCGTTCGTTCAATTTCAAACGAACTTCGCGTTCGTTATCAAGTGAGCCTCGCGCTCAACGAACTTCGCGTTCGTTCTAAGGTGAACCTCGCGTTCAACTCAGGTGAGCGTCAAGCTCAATTTTAACGAACCTCGTGTTCGTTCTAAGGTGAGAACCTCGCGTTCGTACTTCAGACGAACCTCGCGTTCGTACTTCAGACGAACCTCGCGTTCGTACTTCAGACGAACCTCGCGTTCGTACTTCAGACGAACCTCGCGTTCGTACTTCAGACGAACCTCGCGTTCGTACTTCAGACGAACCTCGCGTTCGTGCTTCAGACGAACCTCGCGTTCGTGCTTCAGTCGAACCTCGCGTTCGTGCTTCAGACGAACCTCGCGTTCGTACTTCAGTCGAACCTCGCGTTCATTTCTTTTAACGATCTTTTATCAAACGAACCTCGCGTTCGTTCATTTTCAGACGAACCTCGCGTTCGTGCTTAAGTGAGTCTCGTACTCAATACAGTCGAACCTCGCGTTCGAAGTTAAGGGAACTTCGTGTTCATTATGGTTAAGCCTCGGCTTTTCATGGGTCCACTTTGGTATACTTAATTTATTCAATTAAGTTATGGGCCCTAATTAAGCTGTGAGACCCCAATTAAGTTTTTGGAAATTCAGTTGATTTAAATTTTTTTAATTTAAATCTAATTCGGTTTTTAATCAATTATTTAATTTAAATATTATGACACTAAGGTATTAAGGTTGTCTCTCACTCCAATTGATTAATTGAAACAAGAAGTTGCCAAAGTAACCTCTCTTGTGTAGATTGTTCATGAGGAATGTGAGATGTTTGTGTGTATGCTTTCGTGTAAATATTTAATCGGCCCAAAGGAAGGTTAATATTTATTTAGACTGTATACACATCTGCGATGATAAGCGTGTGACAATTATAAGGTTTACATGTGAATAATGAATCGATCCAAAGATAGTTTCATTATTTGACATGAGTTATTGTCAATGTTTGATCATTGCAACAAGGTATCACTTACAAGTTAATATTACTGTCCAAAGACTTGATATTAATGTTGTGCCGGTATCTTGGATGGGGATTGTCATTATTTGAATTTTATTGATTATGGTTATTGATGTGAGCATTTTTGTTTTATTTCAGCTAATGCATCTGCTGCAACAATTTCTGCTAACATCAACTCAATTCCCATGCTAAATGGGACAAACTTCAAGGTTTGGAAAGAGAACATATTAATTGTTCTTGGCTGCATGGATCTTGACTATGCATTAAGAACTGAACAACCCCAACCTCTCAATGCGGATAGCACTCCTGATGCAAAGAAGGAGCATGAGAAGTGGGAGCGTTCAAATCGCATGAGTCTTATGATCATTAAGCGCGGCGTTCCGGAAGCCTTCAGGGGCATAGAATCCGAAGGGATTACTAAGGCTAAAGATTTCCTTGCCGAAATTGAGAAGCGTTTTGCGAAAAACGATAAGGTAGAAACAAGCACGCTTTTAGCTCGCTTGATTTCAATGAAGTATAAGGGCAAAGGAAATATCAG